GAACACAGCTAAATGTATCAAAAGTATGTCTGTAATATTAGAATTTTCTGAGACAATGAATTTTGTTTTTCATTTTTTCCAGTAAAGAAGTTTTTATTTAATAGAATTTTTGGACAAAAGTATCGTCTTGTTTACAGTATCACATTATATCAGGATATATCGTATCACTAAATTCTTGTGAATACACAGCCCTAAATGTCACCATGGCTACAGGAAGAGGCAGGTCTGCAGGTGTCAATAAACCAAAGTTAATCAGCAGACTGTGGACGTCTGATGTTTCATGATGCTGCTTGAATCTTTCATTCTTATCTTATCTCCTCTGACAGATTTCACAGTCAGTAAATGTTTGAAGAAACATTTACTGATATTTCTGCAGGTGTTGTACTAAGTTTGCTCCGTCTATTTTACTTCGGCACATTTTGATTTCATTTATCCATTAATAAACAGAAATAATACGATGTGAGAAGTTAGAAGAACCTGTCAGAGTTTCAGTCACAGTTTGTCTGAAGCTTCTTCTTCTTCCTGAAGGTAAAACCACCTGAGGATCTCTCACCTGAGTTCGCTGCAGTTTTTAAGTCATAATATTTTTACAACCTGCTGAATAATATTCTGTAACTAGTTGGGCAAAATCACATTGTGAATTATTTATCATAACTTTGGTTTTCCTTGGTGTACAGTCTAAAAACAGGTGTGCAGGTTCTTTCTCACTAAACTGATTTAAATCTGTGACTCTGACCTGCTGCTGTCCATGGACTCCAGGGATTAATAATCTCATTTATTGTTTATCATTTGTGTATTTGGAGCAATATCCCCTAACCCTGGTTGGCACTTTAATCTATATTTCTGATTTCACATGTTTATGTTTTAGGATCCTGTGAAGGCCCTGTTTGAAACAGAATAAAGACAGTTTGACTCACGATGTCTCTGAGGGCCTGAGTGACGGTCTGGTTAGTGTTTCCTCCTTTCATGATCATGACACTCTTCACGTCTTCACTCAGTTTGGGGGCTCTGCCCTCGAGGAAACGCTTCGACCGTCTGGTCTTTGGTTTTCTGACGACGCAAACAAACACGGGACGAATGAAGAAGCAGCTGTAAAACGTTTCAAAAACTGGGATCCTGGAATAATCTGGACCGATCAGAACCACTTTGAGACGGTTAGTTTAATTCATTTCATACATATTTGTGACCCGTCACGTCGAAATGAGGATTAAGTCCAAAAGTGGAGAAATAGGCAGATACAGGGTTTTGATTTAAACAAGTGCAAAAATTACATTTTGTCAAAATATAACAAATTAATGCCTTATGTATCATTTGAATAAAATGTCTGAAATATAATCCTAAAATAATATTTGAAGCATTTTTTGAGCAGTAGCAACAACAAAACTTTTTCCTGTGAGATAACAATGTTTTTGTTCGTTTCAACTGGGAAATCTTAATTTATAAATAATTCATCAAAAATGACTCAATAAATGTCCATAAAATTAGGACTCAGACCAAACAGTGATGTATTAATGTAACCAACAAGATAAATAAATCATATCTCTGGATAAACTGATGATATCAGGATGATCCAGGTGTCAAAATGTGACTTTTAAAGCAGGAATATGAAAATGTAATTAGGTCATTTTGACCAAATTTGACTTAATCCTCATTTCAATATGATGGCTCACATTTATTTTTCAACAAGTAATGTCACTTTAATGTTTTGCAGCAACATTTTTACTGGTTATTTAACAAAAATCTGTTTAATTTTATTAGAAACAATAAAAATCTTATAAACATCCATCAAAACATTTGCTGAAGGTTTTATGAGATTTATAAAAATACAGACCTTATGTTAATTAATGAGGCACTTCTTTATTAACTATTTAAAACTCAAATATTGTTTCCAAAACGATGCAACTTTATTTTTTAACCAGATACGTGGTTTTATCTGTTAAAGCTCATTCACTGAGTCAGAACACTTCAGCTCCCAGTTTAACACCAGTTCAGATCAAACCAGTATAACACCAGTTCAGATCAAACCAGTTTAACACCAGTTCAGACTGGTTGCAGAGATCAAACTGAACTCTGACAGAAACTTTAAGCTTAAATAAACAAATTAAACAGTTACTTGTTATAAAATAATTAATACTCACATGATTCCGTCTAACTGCGTCATTTTGATTTATTTTCTTTTTTTAATTCTACAGATTACTGACACGCTCGTGCTGCTGTGAAACGCACGTGAAGCTAGCAGCAGCGGAAGTCAACATGAGACCGTTCTTCTTCTGTGGTGCAGACCGGATGTAGCTTCCTGTTGTTGTGTTGGCGCCATCCAGTGTTCAGGTGACACACCTCCACAGAGCTGGGCTCAGATGAATTTAAACTCTTCTGTCCAAATAAAGTGAAACAAAGATATGTCGTAAATCCAGACTTTCTGCTGAACTTTATTTTAACATGTATGTGAAGCTTTGTTTGTCCTTTTAATATTTTAACTTTATAACTTCCACAAACAACTACTTTTAAAATGATCTTTGGTACAAAAACAGAATTTTTTACCCACAAAACACTACATTTGGAACAATAAAGATATGTTTTCAACACATATCTGTTTTTATTAAAATGATTTGTGTTCCACTTTTCAACAGAGAGGACACTTCTACGGTTTACAGACTTAATAAGAGACTGTTTGACATCACAGCTGTGTTTTGGTCTGACAAAATATTTTGGGATATTTGTTGGAAAAATGTTTGGTTGTTACTTAGAAAACATTTCATAACAAATATGATTTGAGACGTGTGCCTAAAGATGGATCCTGTCAATAATGTAAGAAATGTGCTCATTCTGCCACAACTCTGAGGAGACCATCAGACATCTGCTCTGGGATTATTTCTAGATTTAGTTAATCTGGAAAGACACTACATTAAACACTGCATCTAATAATAAAGCATTAATGATGCTTAGCTCCCCCCTCTTCAGTTAGTATGTTCCTGCACTGCCTGAAAATCCCCCCATTACAATTTAATAAAATATTATTTAAACAGCTGGAAAATGCAGTTTTGTGTAGATTTAAAAAATAAAATTCCGGTAGAGCATGCCCTCAGACCCTCCTACAACTGCATCACTCCACAGCTGCTTGAGTCTCATTGATGCAGTGGTGGATGGAGTGGCCACAATATTCATAGAGGGGCCAAGTATTTGTTCAACATTCTTGCACACAAATCCCCAGTATTGATGAGGTTTAGACATTAGACAAGTCATATGTTCAAACAGCAGACAGGAAACACAGACAGGATTCCTTCAGGTGAAAATGAAGACCCCAAACCCAGACCCAAACCAGTGGTTATTCCGTATGTTGCGGGTGTTTCGGAGAAACTGAGACGTTTATTTTCTAAACATGATGTCCCAGTAGCTTTCAAACCCCAAAACACATTACGGCAAAGGCTGGTTCACCCCAAAGATCCGGTGCCCCGGCACAAACAGAGCAATGTTGTATATGCTGTTAAGTGCCAGGAGGACTGCGACCAGTTATACATCGGGGAAACAAAGCAGCCACTGTTCAAAAGAATGTCCCAACACAGACGAGCTACATCTAATGGCCAGAACTCTGCAGTTTTCACTCATTTACAGGCCAGCGGTCACTCTTTCAGAGATGAGGATGTTCTCATTCTTGATAGAGAGGAACGTTGGTTTGAGAGAGGAGTAAAAGAAGACATTTTTGTGAAGAAAGACCGTCCATCATTAAACAGAGGTGGAGGCCCCCGTTTTCAGTTGTCCCCCTCCTACAGCGCTGTCATTGGCAGTATCACTCCACCCTCTGTTAACAATAGGTGTTAATTAGGTGTGAACGATAGCCATGTGATGTGAGTATCAGTCACATGGAGGCAGGGCTTAAAAGCCTGAATTTAGCCTGAAACTCTCAGACTGAAGAAGTCTCTTGGAGGAGAGACGAAACGTTTCATTAGAGAAGAACCCGTCCAGAGGACCTATACAATTTTTTTCTTTTTGATATGTTCAAACATTTGTAGTGGAATTTAAAAAGCTTGCAGTAAATTCTTCTTACAGATTTTACACATGTTTACTGTACAAAATACTCTCAAACACAGCATGGCAGATAATCGTTGAAAGACTTTCTGCAGGATTGTTCAAAGCTTCTGTAAGATTCATGAAGGACTCACAATCAAACATCATTTTCAACAATTTATTACTGAAGTCAAAATATTTCATTTATTGCTGTAAATGGAAAAAGGTAAAGCCTTTAATGCATTTAAAAGACATCTTGTTGAAAATTATTGAATTGCTTTAAAGGCACAGTGTGTAGGATTTTGTCAATTCTTTTAGCCGAAATTGAGATAATCACTAACGACAATAATAAAAACATGTCTAATCATTGCAGACAAAGACCTTGTTTTATTATTTTTACCTTATAAAAAGCTGTTTATATCTCCATGGTCGCGGGTCACCACTACAGGCAGCCGCCATCTTGTCTACGAAGGCTCATGAAGGACAAACTGCGGTGGCGGCGTCAAAAACGGTTTTAGTTGTAATACTATAAATGTAATATTTGTTGTCTGTCATTGTAGCTGGGATAATTTTACTTCTTAAAGCTCATAATCTTACCACTTGAAACATCACTAGCCCTGAAGCTGCTGGTAGACATCGCGGTTGGAATTATCAAAGGTTTTTGACCCCTGAGAGACACCGTAGAAACTCCTTTGTGTTTGGAAGCGGGGGGTGGGGGTGGGGGGAGGACCAGGGAGGATGATTCAACCACTCAACCACTAGATGTCGCTGAAAACAACTAATCCTACACACTGCGTCTTTAAACCGAATTTGAAAATGTTTGAAGACTTCTGATTGAAGTTATAAACAACTGTGTGAATGTGAATGATTTGATTTTTCTCTTGTTTATTTCTATTGTTTGCTCAGTTCTGTTGTGTGCTTGAAAAAGTTATTTCACCTGCTTATTGTTGTTGTATCCCTAAACCTTTGTACACTTAATTTATATAATAAAAAAAGTTCAACTGAAAAAAAAATAAGATTCATGCAGGACTTTGGCTCATTAGCGCCTCTAGTGTTTGAATGCAGAACTGCATCCAGATGAGTGACAGGACAGGGGCGTATCAGTGGGCCATTCACCCGGGGCCAGTTCCCCTGTAGCCCCGCCCCTAATGTCCAACATTTATTCAATCTTTACTATGCTCCCTAGAAAAAGAAGCAGTTTATCCCCACAGCTTCAGTGACAAATGGTTTCCTTACAGCTCTTTAGTCCTGATCCCTTCAGTTCCTCCAGTGTGGAAATGATCATTAAGATTATTAACCCTCTGTTGTCCATCTTGTGATGTAACCAAACTTATCCTCCTAGATTTTAATGTTGGAACGTTGATCTAATTTAGTATTTTATTTTCTCTGCTTGAAGCTGATAATTTGACCCTTTTAAAAACCTCACTATGACCACAGGATGTCTTTAAACTTGTTTAACAAATGAATCAGCTCACTGCATCAGAGTTAAGTAACTTATCACAGCAGTTATTATCCAATAGGAGGCTCTTATATATTTAGTTAAATCCAGGCGGTGACCTGTTTTTTAGCCCTGCGGTCTGTCTTGCTATGAAACATAAAAGACAAACGTCACACTGATTGCACAAATAAGCATCTTTTTATTGAAGCATCAAGCTCATAGCACAGATATATTCAGCACATCTCGACCATCCAAAGGTTAGCAAGAGAAAGAAATAAAACAGCAAATGTGTCCTTCAGTCCTCCTTCCCTTCCTCACAACTCACCAGAAAGGAAAGTCACAATTTACAATATTCAGTTAGCTTAACGTCAACCCTTAAAACTGAACAGTGTGGGCAAACTGGTTCAACGGTCGAATAAAACAAGGAAAAAAAAGGAAATTGGTCCGCAACAGAAATACAAAATATTTTGTTAAAAAAAAGTCCAACTGTATAACTGCAACAGTGCACTGAGTTCAGTGTATAAAACATTAACATGTACTTAATCCAACAGAAGGCAGTAAATAAGATTTAGTTTTAAAGTGTTGAATCAAAGAAAAAGCTGTAACAGTCAGAACTTCAAACTGAACATCTAATAAAGTTCATTATGTCTATAAAATCAATTTACTACCTTTTCCTAATTACTAAACACTTTATTTTTTATTGTCTATACTATCAACACGAGCTGTGACGCCTGTGATGAAGACAGAAGTTGAAACATGTCAGGTGAGTCTGTATACACATAAAATAATAAAATAAAGTGTTTAATAATTAGGAACACGTGGTAGATTCAAACTGAACAGTTGAGTCAAAAGAACCGTTTCACAATTTTAACCTTAAGAGTTTCAAACCTGCTCAGCTTTAAACTTTAAGATTAAGTACAAGTTAACCACACACACACACACACACACACACACAGGAAGAGATGGAGCTACACTGTCAAGCAACACAGTAAAGTCACATGCAGCATAGAGTCACAGGACCCCCCCCCACCAAACAAAGCACTGATGGGAACAAAGTAAACTGCCAGGGGAGCCATATTTTCTACTGATTCACTGCAGAAAGCAAAGTCAGGCCACAATAAATGTAATAAAATAGCAGTTTGGGCAGCAGGTACATGTGGAATGATCCGGGACCACCCTGGCATGCTCAGACTGGTGGGCCTCTATTGTGCCTTTACACATCTCTGTATGGGGCGGAAAGACACAGACGGTGGTGATGATGATGATGAAAAACGCTTCGCTAAGCAACTTAACAAAATGTGTCTGATTCACGGTTTCGCCTATTCAGAGCGGGACGTGGGCGGAGCCAGGAGGGCTGGGGGGCTTTGGTCAGCAGAGGGCATTGTGACGGAGGGGAGGAAAGAGGAGTCACGCTCAGCTGCTCCAGACTTTTCTCTACAAACGGAGCAGGAAGAGAGCGAGTCGACTGGTGAGGCAGACAAACTGGTTGTTGGGGTGAAGACCATGAAACACACAACATTTAGAGCAACAACATGAAGTAGTGAAACACTGCAGGCAGCGTGTCTCTGGGCTCAGGCTGACACATTCACAACCAACACGTCTGGGCAACACTTTTTAGTTTTCTCCTCAAAAGAAAACGCCAGGTTTGTCCAGTCTGACACCTGAACACAACACAAATTTATTTAATCACCTGCATCTTTTTATAAATAAACTGTTTGAAATCTTTGTTTCTGAAGTGTTTTACTGAAACTGAGTCTTGACTCAAAGCTGTGTAAATAAAGGTTCAATAAATAAAAACTATCAAACTGTGAGGCTGTTTGCTTCTTTAAAAAACAGGCAGGTTAGGTTCACTGCAAAAACTGTCCATCAAGTTTAAACCTTACATCAGCCAAAAAGTCTTTCTGATCTTGTTTTCAGACTGATTTACTAAACAAGAACTGATTGTGTAAGAATAATCATCTTGTTTTCACAATGTGTAAGATTATTTGTCTTGTTAGTCTGAAAATTTGACTCAAATTAAGTCAAAATTTCTGCCAGTGGAGTAAGAACATTTTACTTGGTAAGATTCTTGAAATAAAAAAATTGAGTCAAATCAAGTATTTCAAAAATCTTACCAAGTAAAATTTTCTTACTCCACTGGCAGAAAATTTTTTTTTACTTAATTTGAGTCAAATTTTCAGACTAACAAGACAAATAATCTTACACATTGTGAAAACAAGATGATTATTCTTACACAATCAGTTCTTGTTTAGTAAATCAGTCTGAAAACAAGATCAAAGACTTTTTGTCTGATATAAGAGTTTAAACTTGTTAAGGTGGACAGTTATTGCAGTGTTCTTAATCATTATTAAATGTCTGCATGTAACTGAACCATTTTTTCCATACTTATTCCTTAGATATATACATAAAAACCACATTAATCTGTTAAAATGAGTCTTATTTTCAGGTTAAAGCCTTTTATTTGCAAAGTGCTGTCAGTATAAACCAGGCAGGTTCAGTGTGAGTGGAGGTGGGCACCACCTGGAATGTACGAGTCAAACTGCTGCAGCCGGAGCCCAGGGACACTCCGGCAGGCTGACCTGTCTGAGCATGTCAGGGGCCTGGCCTAGTGTGGGCGGAAGCCCTGTCTGTGGGGGATGAGGGGGGACACCTGCAGGAAGGGACCGGTGGACCGGGCACAGGTAGGCAGCCTCCAACACACCGTGTTTAACTCCTCTACATGCACCTCAGGATCACAGCAAGACTGAGCTAGAATATGGAGACAAAGACGAGAGCTTTCATGCAACAGATCCAAGTCACAGTTACAACATTTCAAACAAGTCAAAGTGGAGGCCGGCGTGAAGCAGGGGCGCTCCGGGCGACGGCAGCAGAACACCAGGGGGGGAGAGGAAGATGAGCAGCTCTCTAAAGGACGGAGCCCTGAGAGGGCGCCGTTCTTTTTACGCCTCTTCTTCATGTCGGACCCTCAGCTCTGCTGGTTCTGCTGGCAGTTCTTAGTGTAGCTTGTGAAGACAAAATTATAATCGTTGAATTGAGCCAACTGGCGGTCGAGACGCTTGTAGCCCTCGAGTTTCACAGGAGAAGAGAAGACGCTGCGACATTTGGAGCTCTGTGGGGGGGAGAAGATGGATTCAGTAAGGCTTTATCGATAAAGACTCAATGAATTAACCCGTACAACATGTTCAGATCAGCTGCAGTCTCAAACTAATACAACCTCAAAGAAACCACCTACAGCAACAACACACACGGCTGTCAAGTAAAGAGTGGATATTTGACAACATTTTCTAATTTGAAAAATTGGTTACATCAGTGTATTTATGAACCAGGATGTAGAAAAGATAGAGATCAAATGATGGAGACAAAAAGTGAGTTAAAAAATAACACTAAATAACCAACAACAAATTATTATTTTATATCCTTTTAAAGATGTTTTTAACCCGACCTTCAGACATAACCGTACCAAACACAGAGAACAGAATAAAACCTGCAGCCGAGTCTCACAGCTTTCAGACGGGGGTCTCTACATTTAACTCGTCGATTCAAAGCTCTGAAAACAGCTAAAACTAGTGAGAAAGTCTCTTCTTCACAACATGGAGCTTGTTCTTGTGTCCTGTGCAGGTGGTGCGTTCACAGACCAAAGGAAGTGTCAGATTTTACACAACTGGTGTTTGAATTTGAGAAAAGGAAGATTTTTGAAATGTGGTCAGCTGGTTTCCAGTTGGAGCTGATCAAGGTGAAAACTGGTCGATCACCTGATTGATTCTGTTCCTATAAAAACACACCTGATTGATTACGTTCCTATAAAAACACACCTGATTGATTCTGTTCCTATAAAAACACACCTGATTGATTCTGTTCCTATAAAAAACACACCTGATTGATTCTGTTCCTATAAAAACACACACCTGATTGATTCTGTTCCTATAAAAACACACACCTGATTGATTCTGTTCCTATAAAAACACACACCTGATTGATTCTGTTC